TTTTTCATTTTGAGCAAAGTGAGCGATTTACCTCTTCAATCTTATCTATTATGCGGTCGAGAAGGAAGATTTTGGAGACAACGGGTTATAAATGTTTTTTTTGGTACATAAGGTTATAAATGTTAAATAAATATATGAGATTTCTATCCTTAAATCCCTACAGTAATTTTCTTAGATTTTAAATATATGATTATGTAATATCTATATGTGAAAACAATGCATGTGGGTTTTCTGTAATGGGAAGATAAGGAGCTTTGACGTGGTGTCTTACGAAGTTGACGAGTGAACTCAGCAACATTATTAATTAATTTACATAGCTTTATTGTTATTTGGCGAAAAAAAGGCATAACTTCTTTATTAATATAAGCCTTTAGCCCATGCGACCGTTGCTGCATTTCTCATCTTCGCTAGCTTCTTCATCCCTTCCCTTCCCTTCCCTTCCCTTCCCTTTGGGATTTCAAACTTCAATTCCTCATAGCTTTCTGTCAAATCGGTTTTGGCTTTTGTTTGTTCTGGCAATTGAGTTTGGTGCTTGGGAGGAGACAGAGATATCTTTCTTCTTTAACTAGTCCTGCTTCATTTTGGTTAGTGATGAGACAAGATGCTGGATGAATTTCACATTTAAAGCTTCAATTTATTTTGAACTGATATACATTCCCTTTCTGCATTTTTTTTTTCAGGTTTAACATTCTTTCTATAAGAATTCATGAAATGGGTGTAATCCATAGTCCAAACACGAGAAGTGGGGATTATCTAGAAGGAATGCTTACAGATTATGTAGGAGGAAAGGCAAAGGTGAAGGTTCCTCGGAGTGCCTCTACCCGGCTTGTGACTGCTCTCACCTTCCTCCAGTTTGCCTTTGCGATGTATGCAACATTCCTTCTTTACTACATGAGTCCAGCAATTGATTTAAGGACTGCACCAGACTTTACCTGGGCTAAAAGTATTGCACAGAACATGAGGCAGTTCATCATCCCACAGCATGTTCTCAGGCACTACCAGGAATCTGCTTCTCTACTTAGTGCTGAAATCCCACCAATTAGGCCATCTCTTGTCTGTGAGCATGAGAAGATTGATTTCTCGCAAAAAAAGTCCAATGATTCTCAGATGATCAAGCTGAAGAGACAGCTGTATGATGAGATATTGGATTTCCAGAGAAAATCAATTGGAACTGAAACTCTTGCACAACTGATGGCAATGAAATCCAAGTGGGATTTGGGCAGTCTGAACAGACCAAAAGTCACTGTGATCTTGAACCATTTCAAGAGAAAAACCCTGTGTGCTCAGCTGGATTCATTGCTTCAACAGACTCTTCCTTTCCATCATGTTTGGGTGCTTTCATTTGGGAGCCCGAACGAGCTCTCCTTGAGGAGAATTGTAGAAAGTTATAATGATTCAAGAATCAGCTTCATTAGCTCAAGTTACGATTTCAAGTACTATGGAAGATTCCAAATGGCTTTACAGACAGAAGCCGATCTTGTGTACATCCTTGACGATGATATGATTCCTGGAAGGAAAATGCTGCAGATTTTATCACATGTAGCTGGGACTGACAAGTATAAGAATTCAGTCTTGGGAAGTATTGGGAGGATACTGCCTTTTAGACAGAAGGATTTTACATTTCCCAGTTACAGAAAAGTTAGATCAAAGGAGGCAGGGCTTTATTTGCCTGACCCTGCTTATGACATTACTGTTGATAGGATTGTGCAGGTGGATTTTCTTTCTAGCTCATGGTTTTTGTCAGCAGAGCTTGTGAAGACACTTTTCATTGAGACTCCTTTCACATTCATGACAGGTGAAGATCTGCATCTTAGGTATGTATAACTTGATCAAAATCCTTGCAACATTTACTAACTACATCATTTCAGTAGAAAATGAGGATTGACTCTTTGAATCTAAATCAGTAATTTCTTTGAACTTTGGGACATAGAACAACTGCTACATGAAATTTTATAAGAAACCATAATTGAATAATAATGCAAGTCAACAGGCTAAGTCTTTATAATTCAGTTTCTTGGTTTGGTGGGTAGACAAGGTGAATCTTTTTATTGAGTTGGTAATCTTTTAGATATAAACAACTCTGATCATGGTTTTTTTTATCATATATTTGGTGGAAATCGATAAAAGGATGTATATATAGCTGAGGGATCTTGAAGTGTTTGATGAATTATACCAGGCAAGTTCTGTTCACTGGAAAATTTGACTAATCAACTAACTTCATCTAAGTTTTAATTAATATTGGAGTTGAAACCTGTCTAATGATCCTAAATTCTAATTTGGTACTACTTACTTAGTTGTGTTCTTGATCTTGACAATGTAATGAATTTATATAGAAGATTCTCAGTGCCTCAACCAAAAATAAAAATTAATATGGTCAGCTTCCTGATAGTTCTAATCTGTTTCAAAGAAAAGAAAATGAAAGATACTTGTATAATATTTCCTACACAACAAAAAGAGTGTTCATATGGTTCCTTAATAGAGTTAAAATGGTAAGATGAAGACCAAGCATTAACAGTAATGGAGAAACAAAAAACTTTACTGATATGCTATGCCAGTGTTGAAATGACAAGATAACTAGGGCAGTTTTATTGGTTAGATTTAGGTCAGAAATCCAACCAACAATGTTTTTCTAGTTTCAAGCTTTTAATGGTTATGGTTTCTGTAAAATGAATGCAGCTACCAACTTCAGAAGTACAGAGGTGCTGGTTCATTTGTTCTTCCCATTGATCCCAATGACAAAGGAACTTGGGGAGACAGTGAACACAGACTTGCTTATGTTTCAGAAACCACTGTGATCTTCAAGGACATTGTTCAAGTCAGGGATGACCAATGGTGGAAAGCACTGACAACTGGCTATGTGACTCAATGGGCTGCAATGTATCCCCAAAAAATCGATGCCCTCTTCTATGCCCACTCTGTTGATGAAGTTAAAGCACTTGCACCTCTTCTGGAAAAATTTAGGTCCACAGTTGGCAAGAAGGCCTACATTGTAGTCTCTGGAGGCAGTTTCTGCCCGTGTGAAGATGCTTCTGCTGTGCTAAAATGGCCTAAGTTGGTTTGCAAAGAGAGAAGATTTAAGATTTTTGATTTGGCAATTGGCACACTTTCCAGGATATCAAATTCTGAGGTACCTGTGGTTCAAGCAATATATTCTAGCATGAAAGGCCTGATCAAGATTCACAACCCTAGTGTGCTAATCACAGTATCTGACATTAATCCTCATGTCAAGAAAGCTTTGAAGATGGCTTCTGAGACTAATGCAAATGGAACTACTTTAGTTCTTCTGCCCAGGCCTTCTGTGTCAAAGGTACTGTGGATGGCTGATGTAAGACCAACAGCATTACCAAGTAAGACATCAAACTTTTTGATTCAATTCTCTTTCTGTCTATCTGGATAACTTTTGATAATTATACAATATATTATGTTGCTCGCATGCAGATTGGAACAAGATGAGGATTTCTGTCAACATAATTACACAAAACCGTGCCAATTCCTTAACAAGGCTTCTGAAATCTCTCAGCAATGCTTACTATCTTGGGGATGAGGTTCCTATCAGCTTCAACATGGACACTAAAGTGGACGAGACAACTATAAGGCTTGTGAATTCATTTGAGTGGCCTCATGGCCCTAAAACCCTCAGGAGGAGAATCATTCAAGGAGGGTTGATTCGAGCAGTGAGTGAGAGTTGGTACCCTGCATCTGATGATGATTACGGCCTACTACTTGAGGATGACATTGAAGTGTCTCCTTACTACTATCTATGGATCAAATATGCACTCTTGGCCTACCATTACGACCCTCAAGTATCATTTGCTGAGCTCTCCTCCATCTCTCTTTACACTCCAAGGTTGGTTGAAGTAGTGAAAGAAAGGCCCAAATGGAATGCAACCAAATTCTTCAAGCGAATTCATCCAAACACCCCTTATCTTCACCAGCTACCCTGCAGCTGGGGTGCTGTCTTCTTCCCCAAGCATTGGAGAGAATTCTATGTCTACATGAACATGAGGTTCACTGAAAATGCCAAGGCAAATCCAGTTCAAATTCCCAAGTCTAGAACAAATGGATGGCAGGCTTCCTGGAAGAAATTCCTAATTGACATGATGTACCTTAGAGGGTACGTCAGTCTTTATCCAAACTTCCCTAACCAGGCAAGTTTTTCTACTAACCATATGGAACCAGGAGCTCACATTAGTGCGAACGACAATGTTGTTAGGCATGACAAAGCAGATTTTGAGGTGCCACTGTTGAAGGAGGATTTCAGGATGTTGCTACCTAATGGGAAATTGCCTCCAGCCTCAAAACTGCCATCGCTTAACCTTTTCAACCAGGCTGTTTCACTCAAAGGCCTAAAGGCAGCAGGAGCCAAGTTGGGTCAGGATGTATTGAGATGTGACAATGCCACAGAGATAGTCCTTGTTGATCATCAAACAGGTCTGCCTCAGCGTTGTGCAAAATTCTGATAACATCACTGGATGTCATTCTTTAGTCATTTTTTGTTGTAACAAGTTTTGTTCATTAAGCTTTGCATTGTTAATACAAAAATACTGGATTAATAAGTGGCGACAGACAGTGGGGGACAAAGGTTTAATAATGTGTCTTCCTTTGAAAATCAAGGAGGAACTGAAATTATGGCGTTGAACAAAGCCAAAAGTTGCTTTGATGTACTTGTCCCCAGAAGAAACAAGAAACATTTCACATTATGATTTTCTATCTCTGTCTTTCTCTGATCTTTGACATTCCTTGAAATGTAATCATACCATCTGCAATGGATTCATATCTATCTCAAGTGAGGAGGAGAAAAAGTTTAAAAATCATTTTATTATTGAGGATTGCTTGCTTAACCCTTTATGTGCTATGTAAACATCAAATGCATATTTTGGGTCCCTTATTTTCTTATAGAAATTTGATTGATCACCAAAACCCCATGTTCATTTATCTTTCATATGCATTGTTGAGTAGTTGTTGAGCAAAGAAACTTGCATGGAGCCAAAGGAAACATAGATGGAAATAAGGTTTCATGTCTTAGATTTAGATGGTTTGACATCAAGATTTGAATTGCATCCTATTACAGTGTGCCTTGTGAATCTTAATTGCGACTTATTTTACCTCAAAAAGCTCCCTCTTTAACAACAATAACTATCCTTAATTAGGATTTATTATAGGCAATGGTTACAAAAGGAAAAAAAAAAAAACAAGAATCAAGCAAAACATCAATATTTTTTTTTTATCTAATAATGAATTATATAAAAAAGAATAATTTTTTTTTAAATTTCTTTTCACTTTATTGAATATTTAAACTTAAAATCTCTAACTTAAAATCTTAAAATCTTAAACTCTTAATCAATTAAATTACTCTGTTAAAGATAAAATAGCATCCTTATAAAAATACATAGTTATCAAATTATGTTGTCAAAACATTAAAATTTTACAACAAAATAAATTGGTTTAGACAAATACTTATGCAGTACAAAAGATGGGTCAAATTTTTGTTTGATTTATATAAGGAAGGCTAAAATCTACTATTAGTTTTTTACTTTAATAAATTTGTAATTTTTAACTTTTAACTTTTCAATTTATATTATAATATTTTTAGCCCTTTACCTTAATAAATTTGTAGATCTTAATCCATTATCTTATATTATGATACTTTTAGCCTCTCATCTTTACGAGTTAAAAAAATTAACCCTTATTTAATGTCAGGTTATAACATTTTGTTAATTCTATTAACTGACTGTTAACTTTGTGAGCTAATTGTTAGCGTTCTGTTAGCATTCTATTAACAGAACTAACAAATAAGATTGAATTTAAATTTCATATTTTTTATAACGGAATACTAACAGATACTAACAATCAGTTAACAGAGCTAACAGTCAGCTAACTAAACTAACAAAATATTATAACCTGACTTTAAATAAGGGTTATTTTCTTCAACTTATATAGATAAGGTGTTAAAAGTGTCATAATATAAGATGAGAGGCTAAAACTTATAAATTTATTAAGGTAAATGACTAAAAGTATCATAATATAAGATAATGTGCTAAAATCTATAAATTTATTAAGATAAATGATTAAAAATATTATAATATAAAATTAGAGACTAAAATCTATAAATTTATTAAAATGAAGAATTAAAACTTATAAATTTATTAAAGTAAATAGTTAAAAGTAAATTTAGGCCTGTGAAGAAAAGTTAAGTAATAAAAGGCATTAATAAAAACATAGTAGCAGAGATTCTCATTTACAGACCAACTATCAGGATCTAAAAAAGCTTTGGTTTTTTTTATTTAAAAATGACTTAACAGGGAAAGTAAAAAGAAAAAAAGCTACAATAATAATAACAATATAAGATTTCTTGCCTTTTGATGTAATGTTGAGAAATTATTTTGTTTAGGTTATAAAATTTATACTTCTCAT